CACAGCCTTTTCCTGTGGAGTGGAGCATGGCATGCATTCATGTGAAATCCTGAAATTCTGGGTATAGAAGGGTCCTTGATGTACCTTATCATCGCCGGCATTGCCTGATGAGTCAAAAGAGGGATGTGGAAATGTGTGCCTGGTTTTTTGTCTCAAGGAAGGGAAATAATGCTAGAAAGTCGGTGTGTAATTACTAAATATACCCAGGGAATAATCTGCATTGAAGTTTTTTTTTTGTTTGTTTGTTTTTTTTTTTTAATTTCATCAGACCTTTGCTATGATGGTCTTTAGTAATAAATGTAATGGAAATTGGATTACTTGTTATGAGAAAAATGCTTTCTCTATGGACTCTACCTACACTAATTGAAGTGATGTCTATTAAAAGTTTAAACATTTTTAAGTGAGATACATTGAAGAATTATCACTCTTAATCTTTAATCATGGATCATGAAAATTATATGTATTTCATATGTAGATATTATTTAAAATATAGACCCATCTGTGCCCCCAAACAGAAAATAGCTGTTCTTTCCTATTTATTATGAGATGCATTCTCTAAAATCAGATATTCTTATAGATATGACTTGCTAACTACCTGTGGCCTATACTAAAACATATGTGAACACTAGTTTGCTTCACTATAGAGAATGATGTGTGTGGCCATGGAAATCCGTGTCTTTTCTCAGCAGTAAGATGTCTCATGCTGTACAAGTTCAGAAGAGATACAGTAGTGTCACCTGTCACCTAGCAACAAGCTTACTGCTTTGTGTCTTCTCATTTTAAATCAAAATACATATGAAAATGTAGTACTTAGATTTGCACTTATCTCCAGAAATATTTAGCTTAACCTTCAAATATTTGTAATTCCCAAGATAACTCACCAGGACAGATAAAACAGAAATAACTTGAAAAAAAGGCAACATATATATCAGAAACCTTGATGCAGAGTAAGGCCAACCTAGATCTGTTATATAATATCTCAGACTTAAGTGGCTGTCGAGTTCCCTAATCAGTTTTAAAAATTATGGTAACTGACTTGTATATGTATAAACCTTTATTACTTGACATTTAAAAAATCAGCACCTGAAGGCAAAGATCATAACTAATGAAACAGTGATTCATAAAGCTGAATCTAGAAGACAGACTTTCAAATAGGATTGCCGTATCAGCACCAGAATTCAATTTACTTGAAACAGAGCAACTAAATTACCTTTGTGCAGAGAGTGGAGTACCCTGACTCCTCAGGTATCTATAAACATCTCTGAAACGTGTTTCTCCATCTCTATTTAAAGATACATAAAGGGGTCCTCAGAGGAAGGAGCAACAAGTGTACTTATGGGTCCTGGAGTATTTAGAATGTGTTGAACACTAACCTTTAAAGATTGAGAACATAACAGATCATTTATGATGAGATGAAGAGCAGCACCCTGTGACTATAGGGTAGTATAATGCCTGTACTCTGAGGTAATTATTCCGAAGTGACTCCGCATTCATTAAGGAGGGGAGCATCCACTTTCATTCTGACCAAGGTCATTTCGGTTGTCTAGGGAACTCTCTTTAAATTCTAAAGGATGCTGGCTGACCATGTGTGAAAATTTTAGCGGAGAAAACAAGAGTTTGAAAGTGAGGAATTCAGAAAATCATTCTCTATTGTTTGTAGCTGTTAAAGTAGGTGTAACCAGAGTTTCTCCAGACTTCCCACTAAAGCGTGAATATTGTGGTTCTAAGCAGAAATGGTTTTGTTTAAAAGTAAATCTATAATTCTTTCCAAAATGTAATAATGCCTGTTCTTACTTGTTATCTTTTTCATATTGAAATAAATAGCCAACCCTTTGTTTTCTTTCACCTAACAATTGAGAATCATTTTTGAAGCTGGGAAAGAAAGGGCCAAAACCATTTGTGATGCGTCTTTGATGAGGGACAGTGACCTTTAAAACATCTATGCTTTGAGAAGATTTACTTAATAATTTCACAAACATATTTCGCAGAGCTAAGCAATCATTTAATTAGGAAATTGATGAGATACTAACTGGTATTGGAAACGTGCCTTTTCCTATTTTATATCATGGCTTGGTTTTGATGGGGATTTGGGGGAACGACACAGAGGCCCCTTAGCATGACGAAAATTAGAGGGTCTTCTGTTCTATCTTGTGGTCTTAATTTAGGGAAATCTTATTTCTTTTTTTCCTGTTTAATATCTGGGCTGTTGATTGAAGAGTGATTATTCTTATATGTATGATAGCCCAGACTGCTGTATAAACGTTACTTCCTTTGGGGTAGATAACAACAGGGATTATTATTAGTGGAGAAGGACATTGGGCCTCTGAGAGGTTGATAGAGTTGCTTAAGGTCACACAGCCAGTGGATGACAGAAGTGAGACTAGGACAGGCCTTCTCAACTCTAAACTATGTCTTCATTTGCTGTCATTTGTGGTACTTAAAGTTTGGGGGTGTGGGATTGGAGCAGAACCCGACATGATCTTGAGCGTGCTCTCTGAGAAGCTTGAAACAAATGGAAAACAATAGTGAGTGTCATACCTGGCTTTCCCCAAGTTTAAAACATGCAGAGGTATGCAGTTAAATTGTAGGTGGTTGCAGAGGTAAACCACAAAGGGCTGTGCACCAAGATTTGGGCCTAAGAGGATTTATAAGGACCCTGACTGACATCTTCGAACTTGTACCTTGAGTATGAAATTAACCTCTGAGCATCACTGTCAAATGGATCTTAAAATAGTTCATGTGCTCAACTGACAGAACTGCTTTCAGAACAAATGATAGCAGGTTACTTGGTAAATTGCACAATGCTGAAAATGTGTGACAATCGTGTTATGTATAGTTCACATAATGTTTATTTCAGCCTGCAGATTAATCATACCTACAATAAAAGATAAATTATATAATTAAGGCCCTAGTTACTTGGGTAAGAAATACCCACATAATTGATATCAAGATGAATTTCCTTTATTTGATTTTTCTTTCATTTCTCATGATTAGCTTTACTCAGTCAAGAAACATTTATTAATCTCCTAAAGTTTGCTATACTTTGTATTGGGAAATAATGGTGGGAATGGCACTGCGTTTGCCCGTGTTTCTTCTTCTGGAGGGAATATAAATTGGTATAACCTGTTTAAAAAGTAATTTGGTAACATATTTTGACTGCTTGAAAAAAATTCACATAGTTTGATCCAGTAATTATATTTCTATAATTATGTTCTAAGGAAATCAGTAATGTTGCAGACTAACGCAGCTAAGTACAATCTCTAGGACGAGGCTGTCTGACTGGGGTGAGTGCTGGTGGAAGTTTACACGGGACCCTAATCACCAGGTCCCACTTCCTGATTAGCCTATCTAGAGAGGGGGTCCTTTCTAATTGCACGAAAGTGTCATCCAGGCTAGCAGAGGCCCTGATGTATACAAGAAAACGCTCATGGTATATTAACATGTGAAAAAAAAATCACACAACCGCATTTTGAGATATAAGGAGCCAGAATGTAAGATTGAAGCCAGTTTTGAAGTACTGGGTACGTGGTGCTATGAAGTTGGAACTGATTGGTTTAGATGCATTTTAAAGACTAGAGAGGACAAAACATATTTAATAAGAACATGCTATTTTAAATGGCTTTTCAGTTCTTTTCAAGGGGTTCCATGTTATGGCTTAAAGTGGAAAAATTATACTCTGAATTTCAAGAGAATATTTCTAGTCTGCCCCTAAAGTATTAAAATAATGTGTTTATTTTATATTACCTTTTAGTAGTATTTCTAGTAGTAGTAAAAGCTGTAGTATATACTAGGAGATGTATTTTGAGAAAGGGTGGATGAAGAGAGAGAGAGGGAGAGGNAGAGAGAGAGAGAGAGAGAGAGAGAGAGAGAGAGAGAGAGAGAGAGAGGCTGAGATTTAAAACTGGAATTAAATTAAAGTCCAGTTCCGCTTGCAGGCCGAGCCCATGGAACTTGTGAATTCTGCTACATTTCCTTTAAGGCCTTATGAGTGAGCTTTGGGTTTTTTTTTGGTTCAGATGTATGGAAACACATGCAGAGGAAACCTGGCCCAGTGCTGCAGTACAGAGATCGGCACAGAATGTCTAAGAGCTCCAAGGCGTGTCCCCTCTTGAGTGTAATTCCAATGAAAAAAAAGCCAGCTGCGCCTAATAAGCTGGCTTGCGTGAATGCCAAAGAAAATTTGCTTCATGAAATGGAAATTCTGAAGCAAGTTACATAATGCTGCGAGAAAATAAATAGGAGAACTTTCAAGATATATCCAAAGGGGGCAAATGGTCTATTGTAATCAGAACTCGCCAGTCCAGCACTATGTATTTAATTATATTTGGTAAGACCCAAATGGTCCTGGGGATTTGGAAACTGTCAGAAACCATATAAATATTTACTTGTTTAATTTTGAAGAAGTGACATGTATTAACTTAGGTCAGTTTTTAAAAGTTACTTGGGTATTGATTGGCCAACATGGAGCCACCGAAAAGTATTCATATTAAGTATTCTGCACATTTGTATGAACTGTAAAGAGAAAAAAGTCATTTCCGCTGGAAAACAGCATTATTTCAAAAACCTCTTAGTTGCTCAGAATAGTGGAGCCAAGTGCTTCAGTTGGAGTATTTGGGAATTCTCTTTCATATATTAAATGTACTTTTCATCCGCATTCTGCCATTTTCTTCCCAAGCTTCTCTCTTTGTTGCATTCCCCCATCTTTTTTTTTTTTTCCCTCCTTCCCTTCCTGATCTTTGTACAGGTTTTCATTACTTTGTGCCGACGACCTGTCTCAGCATCATAGCTGATGTTCCTGCCTCTTTTCTCTGTTTTGCCTTTTTCATGGCTGCTAATGAGCAAGCAAAGCACAAACAAGGAAAGCTGTTATTTTTACGTTACTCCACTAATCAAGGACTTAAAGAATTGCAGAATTAAGATGCCCCCACCCCCCAATGAAAGGATGTTATCAACGTGTGAAACTTTTTCTCATTATTTGTTTTTGTGTGCTTTTCTTGTAGGATCAATGTGACTCTAGAAACAAATGGATGAATGAATAGCCACATGAAGAGGAAAACAGTAAAGGTTGGTTTGTCAAATTGTATAATTGCAGCGAAAATCTTACTTTAAACCTGACCTTTGAGCTGGTATTCTCATCTGAGCACTGTTTTGTCTGAATATGAGACACAGGTCAATACTGAGACACGTGCCTCTCTCTGTAAAGTGTAATTTTTATTTTTAATCCCTTAAATATAGAGACATTTATGCGGAGGCACACTGTTTTTGTGCAAGTCTGGCTGTCTATTTCTGCAACTTATTTTAAGAATCAACTTTCAGATGAATATTAAAAATTGGTAAACTACTTGAGACAACTGATTACCGGGGCAAAGTAAAAAGAAAGCCAGATTTTGTTTAATATATTGGGTCGTCGGGAAAGTCATGACGCATTTTTGCATTGAAAAACATAGAAAAACACGTCATGACTTTCCCAACGACCCAATACATCAGGTCCTACAAGCATCATCCTCATACCAGCACCACATGGTGTGTGATTGCTCTCAGATGCTGTGCGTGTTGCTCCTACAGTCTCGGCTGTCCTCAGAAGAGCAGGATGGTTATGAATGACTTGACTTTGGTACCTCACAGACAAGTACTACTCTGAACTAGAGGAGGAAAAAGTCCTGTGGATATCAACAATAATCAAGTGCTGGGTATCACTTTATTTCTTGTAGCTATTTGAGCTTTTCTTGTACTGCATACTGATTATAATATAAAAATTATAGGTGACACTAAGAAAATTACAATATGTTAAACCACCTCCATTTCTTAACTTTTTTTTTTTTTTTACACTGAACAGGTCTGGTACACATGTGCCTCATAACTCTTCGTGTAGCTGCACAACACGTAAAATTTCATATTTTCCTTCCCCCAGTTACTCCCGCTACTTTCAAATAAATGTATAGTCCTGCCATGTCTTCCTCTGCCAACCTACTTTCAGTTACTTGCAAATGATTTTCCAGGATATATCTTTCACTTAAAACTGCCTTCCTCCTCCCTCCTTATTGCTAAAATTGCTCCTTTCTCATACATATTTGTATCTGGAAAATTTTCAGACCTCTAGAGGGAGTATTGATTCAGAGATGATACAAGGGAGACTATGGGTGTATCAGTTATGTGCTTTTTCATGACCTCAGTGTTGCTTGTGTGAGTGCATTTACTTTGCGAGAATTAATTGTGCACTTATTTGTATGCAGATCATTGGTATACTAGGGAACAGTCTCTGCGGGCTGGGGTATGGAGGCCTGATCCGGAGTTTTTTTGTCAATTCCCATGGTGTAAATACTCCCAATATGGCTGGCTTCAAAGGTTGAACTAACTTACAAGATTCCTTAAAATTTAACAGTTGGCTCTCATGAGTGGGGTTGAGCTAGCGCTAGCACACCATTGGTAATATAGTTTCATTTATAAAGTAATATTTAACAGTTTCATGTACTCCTTAAGACAACTGGGGCAGAGGTAGTAAATTGTTTTTGTTCGATTGTTATTAAATTTTTATCTTTGAATGGATTAGTGTTAGCTTTGTAAGTTTATATATTTTGACAATGTCTTCGTGCTGTAACTAATTTTATGATAACTGAAGATGATGGCAAGGAGAAAGTGTTACCACTTTCCCTGAGGATAAACTCTGAAAATATTATTATGATTGACTATAATATATTATATGTGATTCACTCTAAATAATTGTGCTTCATAGCTTGTAACTCATGAGTTCCTAAGTCTTTTTAGAGGAAGGAACAGTGAGCATTTCACTGAATGTGTGTTTGTCCCAGTGAATCATTTTTTTCTATTGCTTTTTTTTTTCATATTTTTGATCAATATTTTCAGTTATATGTGCCTTACAACAGAGAATACATATTTGGTGCTTGTTTTTAAGCCTGCTTGAATCAGATGCTGTTAGTTTGAACAAAGTCTAATTCTGGGAGAAAATTACAGAGTTTGAAAATTTATCTTTTCTAAATATTTCAAATGTGTTGACAAGCTCAATATTAAGATGAAGTTTTAAAACCATCAGCAATGGAACCAACATTGGCACTGTCTACATAATTGAAAAGGGATTTGACTATGGCTCTTAAAACTTTTGTGCATTTTCAGTGGTAATAGACTCTTGCCAATAGTCACAGAATGTTATAATGTGCTTTTCTGCTTTTGTAAAATTTCTTTTGTGGCCATACCAAAAGTCTTATTTCCAGGAGCAGTCTTCATCTGCCCTTTACTTAAACACACACACATGCCATATATTACACACACACACACACATATGTATATATATGTGGATATATATATATATATATGTGTATGTATATTTGCAATATATAAATAGTGCATTAAATGCTTTCCTTGACTCAATTTAAAAAATTTTTTTTACTCAATTACATTGCACTTGATTTTGTCCTTTTTACCACCTGCCAGTAGAAAACATCAAACAAATTCCTGAAACTTCCCAGCCATCCATTGTTTTCTGCTCACAGGTATCTGCATAAAATCCGTCCCAATGCTCTTTAAGGCTGACTTCAGCAGTTGGCATCGCTGTGAATGAGGTGGCTGGTTTGTGGATCTGGCTCCACAACCTGGCTTTTGTTTTCCAGCCTGTGCAGTAGGTTTACCAAGTGTTTCTCAGATCTCCTTTAAAGCAGGTGTCGGGAACATACCCGTGCATATATGTTAGTCCATGAAAACTTTTGTTCTGTGACTACTTCTGATGCACGGCTGCTTAAACCATCCAGCATGGCTCTGGGTGACTTCTACTGCTTGTGTTTGGAATCTACGAGGGCAGTAGCAAACCTTTCTGAGAAAGCTTTAGTTCCCTACCAAAAAAAGAAACAGTTTGTTTCATAGTGATGGATATGTATACGAGTATATATGTAGTGTGGTTACTTTTCATGTCTTTGCCATAAAGTTCCAAGTCATCCTCCTTCACACAGGATAGAAAGATTGTAAAAGCAGCCATCCAGCCTTTCTTTCATTTTGAAGGGGGTAGGCCTAGTGGCTCAGAAAGCCCCACTGGCGTTAAGGAGTCATCAGCACTGGACCTGCTGCTGTACGTTTATGTGGAGTAGCTGCCTGGCCAGTAAACCTGGAATCAAGAAAAAGCAAGCCTTGGCTGTGTAATTCTCTGTCTCTGATGTTAGACCGGTGACTTCCTTTTGAATTTTACTTTTCTCAATTGCAAAGTGAAACAAACACCTGTCCTACCTATTACAAGAGTTGTTATGGGGATGAAAGAGAGTACAGTATAACTGAAAACAGTGTAAAGTTGTACTGTTATTTTGTACTGTTATTGATACTGTTATTTTCCTAGCATAAGAGAGAAATTCACGACTTTGTTGTATGACTTGACATAATAAAGTGAAGAAACAGAATTGGAAGCGCCCTCACAGGTCATGGACTGTCACGTGCACTTGGTGTGTGGCTGCCTCCTCTAAGAGCGGGTTGGGTCCTTTAGTGTCACGTTGAGTACTCCTTGGAATTTCCTACTGCATGTGGCAGTTCATGCTATTTTTAGGCATACAGAATTCTATTACAAGTTCTTCCTTTTATTGAGCCAAGCCAATAGAGTTGATAAAGATAGAAATTAGTAGATATATCACATATTCATTAAAATATCATCTGGAATTAGGTCACTCTTCTGTCAAGTCACTGCACCTTTGGGTGTCTAATTTCTCATATCTGGGCAGTAAGAACCAAGTGGTATACAGGGAGTTGAGAAAGATGACGCAGTTATTGAAGTAGAAGAATGGGTTTATTATTTGAAAAGATGATGCATTGCTCATTTTGAACACATTAAAGCATGCCAGGCCCCATCACCTCACGACCTCACACCTATTAACATTTGGTGAACATTATTAGAGCATCTCTATGTGCATATATACATGTAAATAGAGATGGTTTTACAAAAATAGGGTCATATTTATGCTTTGTATTTCTAATGAAGTTATTTTTTACTTTGCTTCCAGAATAATGGAATGAATAGAAACTGAATTTAAACTGAAGGAATTTATTAATTTCAAATTAATGTCCTCTCACCAAAGTGATGCTATTACTTACGAGTTAAGGAAAAGAAAAATGATTTTGAGTTCTGCTCATTCTGTTTTTTTTCTAAATGACTGAATTTAACTTTAAATAGCATCTTTTGACTTTTTCCTAAGAAAGATGGGAAAAATTCATGATATTTTCTGACTTTCCTTTTCCCTCTTCTTGTTGTACTACCTTTTTCAAATTAAGGTTATTACCCTTTATTCCTGATTGTTAATCATAATTATCAAAGCTATTTCATCTTAATTCTTATTTTTCTCAAATATGGAAACATTGCTTTACTGTCATTTGGTGTCACTGTGAAGGCTGAAGCCAACTGATGTTTCATTTGTTCTTGTTTTGCTTTTTGATCATATGTCCATAGACTATTTTTAGTAAGCTAGAAGTTCAGTAATTTCATTGATTTTTGTCCTGGTTTTTATCATGCTGTATTGATTTTTCTTGGATCCTGCCATTAAACTCTCAGAAGTAACATCTGTTTTTATGTCTTCAGATTTTAAAATTATAATTAAAGTATATTTTCTCTTTGTTTTGTTCCGTTTAGTGACGCTGATAATACGTGTAATGTTTTGCCTTGGATTTCTGTATCTGTGGTCTTCACCTTTAACTTTTTAATTTCACTTCCTGTGCCTTCCCATTAAACACTTTTTTTTCTTATTGTGTTTTCAGTCAAATTTCTTATTATTGTTTAGTTCTCGAAGTGACTGTAGTATTTCATAGCCTTGTTAGCTTATTTTCATCTGTTTCATTTATCCTGTATTATATCATTTGAACTCTGTACTTCTTCCTTGGATATTTTTATCTAAAGAAAGACCTCCTTTTTTTTTGAGTCTATAAAGTGTTGTCTAAATTTTGTATCTGTTTCCTTGAGTAGTTTCTCCTGTGATGTTTGTTCTTCACTGGACTTTTGCTGTTTACATTTCTGTCTTGCTTTTGATAATTGCTGCTTTTATGCACTGTTCCCTTGGGGCATCTCTGATTATTACCCATCTTTAAATGGGTCAGTAGTTGGCAATATTGCGGGTAGTATCGTGGGCAGGAGCACGAGCTGTTTGGTTAGGAGCTAGAAGAGTCCAAATCTTTGAGTTGAGTTTGTTATTTGAATACTCTCCAAATAAAGGTGCCCTTTACTGAGTCTTCCCTCTGTTTCCATTACACGGCAGAGCCTCTTAAGACAAAGACTCCTGTCTCCCTTCCTTCTGCCGCTACCAGGAGACCCGCTTGACGACAGCACTAAACTCTGAAAACGCCGTGTCTGTTTGCTCTTCCAGCACCACTCTCTCTGCTTTTTTTCACTGGAATAGACCTGTCATACCTGTGAGTTTTACTTTTAGGAAATTCTGTGTCTTGATGGAGATCTGAAGAGACATGTATCCGTTCCCAGTGGCCTCCCAGATTTCATGGTTTTTGACAGGTTTGCCTGATTGGCAATCTGAGTTTCTGACTGTTTTTACTTTCACTAAAGATGGTGTTTTTTTCCTCTTTTTTCTAAATTCATTTTAAATGTTTTCAGGGAGTTTTAAAGGAAGTTTTAATGTTGCAATTTTAAAATAAGTAATATTTTAGACACGTTTAAGTGATCCACGGAGAGAGTATTGAAGTAAGAGCTTGGCTCTGT